AAAAAGATTCTCAAACAAGAACTCTATATCCATCAAAACTACACTTCAAAAATTAAGATATTCCCAGATAAACAAAAAATGAGTGAGTTTTGTCAATGGCAGAACTGTCACACAAGAAATGCTAAAGAAAACCATTAAGGCTGAAATGAAAGGATAGTAACTCAAATCCACAGAAAGAAAGAAATAATAACAGACAGTATAAATAATAAAAGACAGTATAAATATGTATTTTTTTGTTTGTAAGTCCTTATTTCTGATTTGAAAGACAACTGCACAAAGCAAGAATTGTACATCTATATTGATGGGCACACAATGTAAAAATGTAATTTGTGATAATAACAGCATAAAGAGGGGCATGGAGCTATAAAGGAGCAATTTTTAGTATACTCTTGATATTTAGCTGGTATTAATTCAAATTAGACATTTTAATCCCCAAGGTCAAACACTAAGAGAATAACTCAAACACATATAGTAAAAGAAATAGCAAGGGAATTAAAATGGTAAATTAAAAAATATCTAACACAAGATAAGGGGGTAATGAAGGAACTAAGAAATAAAAATATAAAATACCTATAGAAAATAAATAGAAAATGGCAGAAGTAACTTTTCTCTTACCAGAAATTATGCTATATGTGAATAGATTAAATCCATCAGTTAAAATGCAGAAATTGGCTGAATGGATAAAAAACAAAAAATAAAACATGATCCTACTATATGCTGTCTACAAGAGACTAACTTTAATTCAAAGATACAAATAAGGGTAAAATAAAAGGATGGAAATAGTATATAACCAAAAAAAGAGCTTGACTGTCCACACTGATAACAGACAAAATGGATTTTGAAACAATAAACTTTCCCAGAGGCAAATAAGAATATAAAATAATGATAAAAGAGTCAATCAAGAAGTTATAACAATTATAAATATATATGCACCCAACAAAAAAGCCTAAAAATACATGACTATAAATTGACAAAATTGAAGGGAGAAATTAACAGTCCAAAAATGATAGTTGAAGAGTTCAATGCCCCACTTTCAATAGTGGCTAGAACTAGAAGATAGAAGACTTGAATGTCAGTATAAGCCAGCCATATCTAGCAGACATCTATAGAATACTCCAGCCAAAAAAAGCAGAATGTACATTCTTCTTAAGTGTACATGGAACATTCTTCAGGAAGACAATGCATTAGTCCACAAACAATTCTCAATAAATTTAAAGATTGAAATCATACAATACATGTTCTCTGACCACAATGGAATGAAATTAGAAATCAATAATAGATAAAAATTTGAAAATTTACAAATATGTAGAAATTAAATAAGAAACTTCTAAATAACCATTGGGTCAAAGAAGAAATCACAAGAGATGGTAAAAAATACTTTAGAATGGATGGAAATGAAAATACAACTTACCATAACTTGTGGGATACAACAAAGGCATTTCTCAAAGAGAATTTTATGGTTGTAAACATCTACATTATTTTTTTTTAGATCTCAAATTAATATTCTGACTTTACACCTTAAAAACTAAAAAAAAAAAAGTGCATATGCAACCCAAAGTAAGAAGGAGGGAATTAATAAAAATTAGAACAGAGATAAATGGAATAGAGAATAGAAATAACAATAGAGAAAATCAACATAGAACCATAAGTTGGTTTTTGAAAATGTCAACAAAATTGTCAAGTCTTTACTTTAGCTAGACTGATCAGGATAAATAAGAGAGAAGACTCAAAATTTTAAAATCAGAAAATAAGAGGGCACATTACAACTGACCTTCTTGAAATAAAAAGAATTATAAGGGAATCTGTGAACAACTGTATGCCAAAAAATCATATAACCTGGACGAATTCCTCAAATCAGAAAGTTACCAAAGCTGACTGAAGAGTCTGAATAAATCTATAACAAGTAAAGCCATGAAGTGGGTAATCAAAAAAATCAATAAAAGCCTAAGGCCGATGGCTTTCCTGGTTAATTCTACCAAATATTGAAAGAATTAACACCATTCTTTCTCAAACTCTTTGAAAAAATAGATGAGGGAACTTCTTGACTCATTCTATAGAGCCATTTTGCCAAGATACCAAAACCAGACAAAGAAATCACAAGGGAAATAAAAAACCCTGCAGATCAACATCCCTTATGAATATAGATGTTAATGTCCTCAACAAGAAACTAACAACTGAAACCAGCCCCATATACAAAGGATTGCGCACTGTGACCAAGTAGAATTTACCTCAGGAATGTAAGGTTGGTTCAACATACAAAAAGCAATCAATGTAATACCAAACATATTTATGAAATACGAAAAAACACAAAATCATCTCAGATTCTGAAAAGCAAAATGAAACACCTTTCATGATAAAAACAGTCAACAAACTGGCACTAGAAAAGGACTTTTTAACCCAACAAAGAGGATCAAAGAAAAGCTAACATCACACTTAGAGGTGAAAGATTTAAAGTCTTTGCTCTAACATCAGGAACAAGACAAGGATGTCTGCTTTCACTAATTCTATTCAACATCATACTTCAGGCTTTAGTTACGGCAGTTAGGCAAGAAAAACAAATAAAAGGCATCCAATTTGGAAAGGAAGAAGTAAAACTCTATTTGCAGATCACATGATCACATGTTCTTATACACAGAAAACTTTTATTAAGCCACATAAAAACTATTAGAGCTAATACATTTAGCAAAGTTTCGGGGTACAAGCTCAACATTAAAAAAATCAGTTTTGTTTGTATATACTAGCAATGAATAATCTGAAAAGGAAATTAAGAAGAAGCTATTTTTAGTTATGTAACAGCCAAATGAATAAAATGCCTATAAATAAATTTAAGTTTAAAGATGAAAAACTTGTATACTGAGAACTATAAAATGTTGCCAAAAGAAATTAAAGTTCTAAATAAATGGAGATGATATATGTATATGTGATTAAAATGGATAGATATGTATCCCATGTTTGGGAATTGGAAGACTTAATATAGTTAAGATGGTAATACTTCCCCAAACAAGGGATTCAATGCAATACCTATCAAAACTCCAGTGACCATTTTTGAAAAAATGAGCAACTGACCATAAAATCATAGGAAAGTATAAGGGACCCTGAAAAGCTAAAACAATCTTAAAAAAGAATAAGAAATTTGGAGAACTCCTGCTTCCCAATTTCAGCACTTACTCTAAAGCTATAAGTTATCAAAACTGTGAAATTTGCATAAGGACAGACATGTAGATTAATGGAATAGAATTGAAAGTCCAGAGTAAACCTATATATCTATGATCAATTGATTTCATCAACAGTGCTAAGATCATTTAATGGGGAAAGAAAAGTCTTTTCAGCAAATGTTGCTGGGCCCACTGGCTATCCACATGAGAAAGAATTTGGACATCTACCATACACAAAAATCACCTCAAAAAGGACCAAAGACCTAAATGTAAGAACTAAAACTATAAAACTTAAAAGAAAATATAGGCCTAAATCTTTATGACCTCAGATTAGGCAACAGTCTCTTAGATATTTGTAATCCCTATTAAAGAGAATGTCAATTGCCCCACATCCTCTTCAATGCCAGGATAGTATCAATCTTTTAAAGTTTTGCTAACATTTTGCTGCTAATATTGTTTTGAAAAGGTAGCTCATTATTGCTTTTTTTTTCTTGACTGCTGGTGAAGTTAAATATAGTTTCATATATTGATTCATCATTTGCATTACCATGTATATATATGTGTGTGTGTGTGTGTGTGTGTGTGTGTGTGTACAGGTGGATATGGTTGTGTTTGTGGATATGTGTGGGTGTATCTGGCATGTGTTCTATTTAATTATTCTCCTCTACCAAATTCTCGAAAGTAGACACCATCTAAAACCTTTCACAGTTTGATGCATGCAAACACAATGTGTTTCTGTAAATGTGTTTTTTAATATTGACTCAGCAGCAGGTGTGATAAATTTATTTTTCTACTTTTTATCCCTACTACTACCATCATATTCCCAGATGCATTCACTCATGATTAAATAGAATTATTGCTATTTTGAACTTCTAACTCTATGGTAAGTGAGAAAAAAGGCTGTTTTATTTATCCTAAGGGAAAGTAAAAAATAAAATATAAAAAACTTCAGCATATGAATGAACATTTCTTTAACATTTCAATTGTCTTTTAATTTAATGTATCCCCTATGTACATAACTAATCCTCTCTTGAATCTCTGATAAAACAGGTAATTGTAGACATTTTGACCTGCTGATACTGTGACTGGCTTCTGAGTTATTGCTTTCTTTTTACTTAACCATTGTGACTTCCCAGACTATAGGCAGAAAAGCTTTATAATGCAAGGAACGAAATTATTTTTTAAACCAACAAAGGTATAAAATATACCTTTTTAGTGATTTAAATTTTATAAGGTTTGGGATTTAGATGCTTGTTTTATTTTCTGCAGATTCTAAGCTGTATTATGAAAGAAATTATGTCCTCACAATGCTAGGCAATCCAGAATTAATTTCATCCTTAGGTAGCTATACTTAGAATGAAGAACTTCTTAATCATAGTTCTATTGTGACTACTAGTGTGGATGATTGGTCGTCTGCTTAGAATGATTCAAATAAATGATGAACAAATTAACGTGAGACTTTGTGAAAGATTTTTTTAAAATTAATGTTAATGGACAATGGGTCAATTTCAAGTCCTTCTTTCCTCATAGGAAATTCTATTTCAGTTTCACCAGTCTTTCTAACCTCAACGGTATTTAAGAGAAAAAGAAGATTCATACAAACAAAAATGGAAAATGAAAGCATTTCAGAGTCATCACTTCAAAAAGTATAATAACCATTTAACTTTGCACTGTTTTATGCACTGCATAATTAACTTTGCACTGTTTTCTTTCTGAAGATTTTTAATTGCTTTTTTAATGGCTAGAGGTGGCACTGAAAGTACCTTTGGGAAAGAAAAAAAAAAAGTATTTCCAATGCTGTCCTGCTGGTATTTGTTGATGTTTTTGCTTCCTATCTTTCTGCAGGAGTAACAACTGTTCTAACAATGACAACTCTAAGCATCAGTGCTCGGAATTCTCTCCCCAAAGTGGCTTATGCAACTGCCATGGACTGGTTTATTGCTGTTTGTTATGCATTTGTGTTCTCTGCCCTAATTGAATTTGCAACTGTTAATTACTTCACCAAAAGAGGATGGGCTTGGGATGGAAAGAGTCTCCAACAGATTTAGCTTGCAACAGATACTGTTCCTCAAAACTGACATTAAGAACATTCAAACATAAAAGATTTCTTTCAAAGTATGCTCTTGCCTGAAATCCTTTAGGAGTGCTGGTAGCATTACTTCTGTTAAAACCACTTCCTAGCATCTTTTGAGCTCTGTGTGTCAGGCACTGTGCTAAGTCTTTTAGATATGTTCTCTCATGTAATCTTTACAACTTTATAACTAGGGTTTCTTTTTAATTCTCATTTTTTCCCGATGAGGAAGCTATGGATGGCTTAGTGAAGTTATTTATGTGCTCAAGCTCACACAAGTTAATAAGTATCCTTAGACCCAGATCTGCCTGACCATTAAATTCATGCTCTTAACCACGCTGGTTTATAGGAAAAAGATTTGGAAAAGAAAAGTGGGCATTAACTTTCCCAGTTATAGAATTTTAGGCTAGTCTATAGATTATTATTCATCTGTCTTGAGGAGGTTTTGTATATGTCACAATGAGATATAAAGTAGTCTTAATAATAGTAAAAAGTTCTACTTGGAGGGCTCCTTTTTAATAAAATATCTACCTGAATACCCTTCCATTAAATTTGGAATAACATACTTGCTGATTTTCCTTTTCAGTTATTTGAATACAAATTTTTTTTTCAAATTTCTATGACAATATTGCAGTTAAAGCGTACAAACAGTTGATGTTATAGTTTAAAAGTCTTGCTCTTTTTCCCTAATTTTGTAAACTGTAAAAGTTCTCATAAGATTGCTGGTTTATTTCATTTTATAAGCTATGTTTTGTAGACTAATAGCCAATGAGTAAATATTAAAGGGAATCTGATTAGTTTTCCATGCTTAACTTCTAGGTTATTTTACCATTTCCATTGCATTTTACTATTGATTGATGTTTTCATTCCCCATAAAATATACTGCTTTTCCATTGCTATCTATGCAATTACTTCTTTTTATATTAGTTACACATGCACTTTCATACTAACTTTTTTTGAAGATAAAATGCTTTGTAAATATGTCACAAAAGATAAATAGTGGTTTGAGGTGTAAATGCCCTGCGTAGAAATATACTGATATATTATTTTTAACGCGATGAGGGTGTCAATCAAATTGATATTGTGATTTGGCATATCAAATAATATGCCTTCTCACCCCCTAAACTTGGAAAAGAGAAGTACCTATAAATGCGAAAAACACATTCTTGATAATGCATTCTAAAAGCAATAACCTACTACTAATGAATACTGGATTTATCTCCACCCATATAGCAGATCACACATAGTGAAGCTAAATCTAGGTTGAAATAATTTATGTTCCATCCTAATTTGCAGGAAAACAACTAACAAATTTGTATTATTTCAGTAATAAGCGGTTCAAGTTCAGTGGATAAGTTAAAGGGAACATTATATCAGGCACCTTGCTTGTTCTTAATCACTTTTCCACAGCTAGAGTGCCAAGCACAGTGCCAGTCACTTAGTAGGCACTTCAGAAAGTTTCGTTGAATAAAAGAATAAATAAGTTTCTGATATTAAATCTGGCAATGTAATACCAATGAGAAGACTTCTTTGCCTTCATGGAAAGACTTTTAAAACTTTACAGTGGTGAATTTATCAATGGGTACTCAATCCATTTTCATGATTGAAATGAATCTGGGGAGGTATTTCCTAAACCTACCTTGGAAGTAACCAGGTCCTTAGAACTAAAAGGAAATCTAGTATAGTGCCCCAAACTAGCACATATGCCTAAAAAAAATATTTCAGTGCAATTTACCTCTGCTTTAGTTATCCTTAGATTTAATTAAGTGGAGAACAATAATTTTCCTGAAATACAAAGTTTTTATCCATCAGCCAAATTGGCATCCTTTCAGTTTAACCAGACGGGAGGAAGTCCTCTTTTTTGAAGTTAGTAAACATTAGTAAATGCACTTAAATTATCTGTCAATCCAAAGAGTATATAAAAAGTTATTAAAGGTTTGTTAACTGGCAAGTATTAATTTGTCTCATAAGAATAATCACTCAGAGATTCATATTAATATTATATGTCTGAAAGAAAGAGATATGTATTTAACATACAGTTTTCACGTAGACTATGCTCTGTTGATCTTTAAAGTTAGTTTTTGCAAATAAATAAATAAATCCACTCACTTCATATTCAAGACACATTTGAGCCCTCTATTAGAAGACAAAGCCTACCTTGCTCTGTGATCTTGCACAAGTGTGTACACTATACCTTTAGCCTCAGGTGTGAAATTAGTCAACAAAATTTTATCATTCTAAAAATGTAGTGGTGGATCAAATAATCCAACTTATATGGAAGGGCAAATATTTATGCCCTTCCATATAAGAAAATATCTACTTATGCAACCTCCCAAGTTCTTCTGGAACCTTCTCTTACACCCAGTGTTCTTCCACTTCCTCAAGACTTCTACCCCATCTCTTGATTCTTTTCTTCTTGTCCCCTTTTCAATCTTGAAGCATCAGTTATTATTTTCTTCTCTTACTTCTTCAAAGCTATCTTCTCCTTTTCAACTGTCTCCTTGCTTTAAGTTTCTGAAGATGCTTAATATGTTTAATTTACCATAAAGGCAAAACCAAAACTCTCTCCAGATTGTATGTCACCCATTCCCCCATTATCAGATTCCACCCTCTTTTTCTCCATTCAACCTTTTTGAAAACATTGCTTATAATGTGTATGTTCTCACTTCTAGTTTAATTCTCAGCTCACTGTAATTCTTTCCATTCATTGTCCTATAACTGAAGGACAGCAACGACTTCTACATTTTCAGATAAGATAATTTTCCATTCTTAAGGGATCCCCATTGAATCCACTGAATACTGTTATACTCCAAGATTCCATTTCAGGCCCAAGTCAGCAACTTTTTCTCTTCTGTTAGGCCTTTAAAACAGGCCTTAGAATATCAACTTCCTTCCTCAAATCTTGGCAGCTACCACTATTCATTCTGTTCTTTGAGATTCTTTGCCTGAGTTCAGAGTAGATACACTCTCCTTAGCACCTGCTGTTGTTTATCTCCAAAGATAGTCATTTACATTTATTTTATGTTTTTGTTTTTACTATTCATATGTGATTCTCACTTTAAGGATTTTACTGACAATACTTGTAGGAATGTCAGCAACACTAAGCACACTGTTCATTATTTATTATATCCAAATAGGTAAAACCCACTCATCTTCAGCACATATACCAATCCTCAGGAAATTTCTGAACACTTGCTCCCCACACCCCTGAATAATTAGATCACTTTATAAGTGTGTATAGTATCCTGCTCTTTTGCATTTAATTCTTTATCACAGTTTGTAATTGCATGCTTATATACCACCTCCTTCACTGATCATGATAACAATGACCATGTTTATTTTAATAAATCATTTATCCTTGTCCCTTCGCACAGGGCCTAGTATATATTAGCTGCTCAATAAATATGGTATGAATTAATGAAGTATAACCAAATCACAACTACAGCCAACACCTTTATCTTACCTTCCACAGTTATTATCTACAGCTATACTCCATACCTTTCTTTTAACTTCCAAGCTCATATATCCAACCTGTTCCCTAGACATTTCTACATGAATATGACATTTCAGTCTTTACATATCTCTTTTAAAAGGTGAAAGAAACAACAAACAAACAAAAAATCTCCTAAATGCCTACATTTTTTTTTTTCATATATACCTCAGTTCATGGCAAAACCTAATCTCAGAAATCAACAACTTGGAAGTTATCCTTAAGACCTAATCAGTCATTGAATGGTGTCCATTCTCCTACCTATATGTCATAGACCATGCCCTTGCCATCTCTCATTATTTTGAGACTCTTTATTCCTCATTATCTCTAAATCATGTCTCCCTTTAATCCATCTTCTACAGTAGTGCCAGAGTTATCTTTCTAAAACAGAAATCTGTTCATTTAATTTTTCAGCTCTTTAATGAATTTTTGAAAGCAATTCTTCAAGCAGCTCAGCTAATATGGTCCAAATATATAGCCTTCTCATATATTTGTTTACATGATGAATAATAAGAAATTTTGTGTGTGTGTTATTTATTGTGCACTTACTACTATGTGCCTGGGAATATCTCCATGTTAGAAATGAGGAAATATAAGATTGGTCAAGTAAAGTTACTTGCTCAGGATCACACATCTAATAAGTGGTGAATCCAAGATTGAACACAAATCTAAAGTCCATGTTCATATGCTTCCTCTAGCCATTAAAAACATCTCTCAATTCCATGCCCCTACACATCTCCATGGCATTAGATGTGTTCAGCCCTCTTGCTAAAATGCCCTCTCCTTTCTTTTCTAACTGATGAACTACTTATTCCTTCAAATCTATCCAATTGTATCTAATTGCCATCCCCCCCCCCCATTATCCTTCTACAGTACCTGGCATGAATTTCTTTTATGTAACCTCATTAAATTATACTTTTATTATAAATAAATCTGTTTCTAACAGTAGGTTACCTGATCTAAGAGAATAATAGTTTTGTCTTATTCATTATTTCTCTGCCAATACCTGAGATAGCATTTAGCACATAGTTTATTTGAATTAAATTTTTAAAAATATCTTTTGTCTTGAGATTGTTTTTATTTCTAAATCTGAGTCAGTGGTTCTACACTGGCCAAGAAAAGCATATTCTCTGGAAATACACTATATATTAAATTAGTTGAAATATAGGCATAGCACCATAATATCCAAACTAACATGAAATGTGCCATTGTTTTGTGATTCACTCCATGCAATTCATAGAAAACATTGTATTTCAGGTGTTTTTATTCATTTATACACATTTTTAAACATCATGCCTTGTTCCAAAAGCATTTCAGGCAGTTTACCAAAAGAATGCATGTACTTAAATTATTATAATAAGATATAAATAGAAGTAGAAAATCAGGATGAAGGAAAATAGACTGCAAATATGTCCACCATTTGGGCCAGAACATTAACTGTAGTTCATAGCTAGATTATGCTGAGATTCAAATCTTGAGCTTCTTGGCTATGAGAGTAAACCATGGGGGAAACTTATCTTTCTTCAACCAAAAAATGGATGTATAAATTTCCTCAGAAAGAATGATTGTCCTATACTAAAAATCTTTTTAAAACAATATCATATGGGTTTTATATTAGGGAAAGTTGGGTGCTATTGCAAGTAATGTCAACATTTTCCCAGTAAAAGCAGTAATGAATTTTATATTGATGTTTCTTGTAGTCCCCTTCAATAAAAGCTGAAGGCATTACATTAATATACAACTCAGTGAAGGCAATTCTTCAAGGAGCTAAGCTAATATGGTCCAAGTATATAGCTTTCTCATGGCCCAGTTTAATCCAAGGAAAGACTTTAGAGTACTTAGAGAAGTGGATGGACTGTATAACCTTCAAACAATCTTCTGTAAGTATCACTTTTCTCAGTCAGGATGGTTAGCAGACAGTTAACAATAGCATTATCTGACAAGGGAGCATGTTGTTGTTTTACAAGTAATGGGCTTTCTAGTAGCCACAATGACTGTAAAAAAGCAACATGGTATGTAGAAAGAGCATAAATTTGCCACTTTGTAAACCTGGGGTTTTCTCCAAAGACTGTTGTATTTAGTGTTGTATTTATGAGAGCTCCATTTCCTTATTCTAAGCTCTATTTCCTAATTCAGTCTCTGAGATTCTTTCCAACTCTGAAACTATGTGATTGTTATTTTCATTTATATCCTAGGTCACTTTGCTACTAGGTGTCTATATTTTAGCTAGAGCATTTGCTCAATTTACTAACACTTCCTTTTATCTAATACTTCAAGAAAGCCAAAACTGGTTTGCCACGATGATGTAAGATGTTTTGATTTCTGTAATCAGGAATTTTCCAGACTTAAAATTTTAATTATATATTTGGACACTCTAATAAAGGAATAACCTCAGAATATTCTGAGTCTTATAAAACGTCATTTAAAAAATAGAAAGTTTAGGGCTTCCCTGGTGGCGCAGTGGTTGAGAGTCCGCTTGCCGATGCAGGGGACGCGGGTTCGTGCCCAGGTCCGGGAAGATCCCACATGCCGCGGAGCGGCTGGGCCCGTAAGCCATGGCCGCCGGGCCTACGCGTCTGGAGCCTGTGCTCCGCAGCGGGAGAGGCCACAACAGCAAAAAAAAAAAAAAAAAAAGAAAGTTTAATTAGTATGGGTTATCTTCCCTTTTCATTCCACTTAAGTAACAGCATCCACTGATTCTAAAGCAGCATAATTTACTTTTTTTCCCCAGATAATGTATAAAAATAAATCATTTGCTGTTTCAGTGTATAGTCATATTTTCCCACTTCCCTCTTATATGTCTCAATCACAAGTGAAACAGTTTCCACAAATGTGGAAATTCCGCAGCATTGTTTTTCAGTTGAGCTTATTTTATTATTTCTCAGTCTCCTACATCTATAGATGTTGAAATTGAGGACTTTCGGGATAATTACATAATAGAATTGCAGAACACACTATTAGAATCTATTTCTATTAATCTAATAAATGGTTATTGTATTCTATAAAATACATTATATGCTTATATACATTTCATAATATATATATATATATATATATATATATATATATACACACACACACACACATATATTATCACAGTAATCATTCTAGTAGATGTCATTCATTTATCATGAAGCAAACATTTTTTGAGGCTGCCCTGTGCCAGGAACTTTGCTAGGAATTCTGCATTGCCCAATCTCTGCAATTCGATATCAGTTTAAGTGATGTTTAGGTATAATTGAAATAATAACAATATAAACACTATATGTCAGAACTTTATGGGTTAGAAAGTCCTTTTAGAAGGTTGACTTAGTAATATAAACTTCAATTGGAAAATCTTGAGAAAAAGATATTCACAAGCTTCCTCAGAGGTAAAGTCACGAGGCATGCTGTTTAAAGCAGAGGTTTGGAAGCCACACACATTTGAGTTTGTGTGCTTTTTTAGCCACTTAGTAGACAGGAGACCTGGTCATGTCACAAAACCTCTTTAGCTTCTGTTTCTGATTTTGTAACTTGGGGTTTACAACATAGAACTTACTTCTTATCCAGTAGTGAATTTTGTCAGCAATGACACCCTTAGGCTTAACACTCAACCTGACACATCCTAGGGCTCACAAGGTGTTAGTTATCTTTGCTACCAGTTATATGCTTGAGGATTACCCTCCATGTGTAACATGGGAAAAGCTGTTTTATAGCTTTCATAAAGCTACAAATGGTAATCCCTTACCCCTTTTCCTTTTTTGCTCCAGCCAGGTCTGGAAGAATGCCTTATCAACAAGGGAAAGA